TCTTATGAAAATGAACTCAATGCTTTGATTGGTAGAGCAGCGAATTCGTCATGTGCTTATTGATTAGCTCTGCGCTTGTCTTAACTAGGTGCAGATGTTAGTGGAGGTGGGATGCCATCGCAATTTCTTCCCTCCTTTCCTACTGGTTAACGATTTATGTAAGTTGTGCCAAACATGAATCCATAACTTCTTGGTTCGTTGGGTTCTTAGTAGTTTTCAAGATTGTGAACACGGTCCTATTATTAAGTTGCGGAAGTATGAGGTGAAGTGTTCATAAAAGCAGCTATTCACTTTAACTGGTGTTTTAAAATACATTTGGAATAACAGATTGACTACGTTCTGGCTGCACGGAATCCACGAAGGAGTCATTAGGCATCCCTTGAGTAGACCAGATTTCGCGATGGACATATCTTGACCTGTAGTTTCCGCTTTAACGGCGGATAATTTTGGTACCAAAGCAAAAACACTCCCTCGATCGAAAGACTCAGAGGGAAGATTCAAACGATGAATTCACAAAGTTTGGTTTGAATTTCCCCCCTTTATCTACATGTGCCTTTTCTTGAGTTGGGTAGGAGGAGGAGGAGATCATGTTTAGGGGTGAATTAGGTGAATTAGTAATGCTTCAATTTGGTGGTTACATTGCATTAACCAAGTGGACAGACATTCAAGCCATGTCGGAATCCGCCATCCCCTCTCATTCGCTGAATCTATGCATTTCAGTCAATTAACGGAGGTCCACGGACGCCATGTATTCGCCATCATGAAAAATTGAAGTCGAATTTGCCATCATAATCCAGCTCTTTCGCCGCAACGCAGCCAAAGTTCAAATACTCAACTAGGGGAGTCTAATAAAGGCCAAATGTTTTTGTCCAACTCAGATGTCTCACCACTGAAATCAAAATGGATTTTTCAAATGGTTGGTTTGTAATGGCTTTGGCATGTAATACACTTAGTATTTTAGACATAAGTCGTGTTTTAGTAAGCTGTTGTCATGACAACGGTGTCTCGAAAATTCAATTTTTATGTTGAATGAAACGACTTCGGACAATAAATGCTAAAACTGCATGAAGTTACGCTAAAATATGGGGCCTATGAGGCATGTGGGATTGTTCTTTATCGAGAATTTCGACTGGAAGGTCTTAAGAGTAGCTAGAGATAATCCATCTAATTTCAGTAGGATTACTCGAGCTGGTAGGACATACCGTCATACTAGAGAAGATACCAAATGTAAGAGATATACTGGAAGTGTGGTTACAGGGTGAAAAAATCTGTGTCTGCAGCCTCAAAGAGCTGCAATTTAGTGGTGATGGATTTTTGGACAAAAAAGCAAGGGAAATTTCTCAAAGGATAAGGGAAACCTACCAAGTATGCAACCAAAGTCAAGGAGTGAATTGTGAAATTGCCATTGGAAACACAAATCAAGGTCTTAGGCAAAAGAAATACCTAATTGGAAGCTAAATCATGCAGTAATAAAGGTTGGCCCCAAGTGTAGTCATTATCTGCTTTTTGGCATTATGCTACCTGTTAAAGTGCGTTGAATTGCATTTCATTACTGAACACGCGCTTTTGAAATGTCTCCTGGATGAAATAGCTGGCTGACCATAGTTTATGAATGGGTGTTTGAGCACTTTCATACGATAGTAAGAAATGAGCGCTAACTGTTCACGAAAGCATAATAGCTTTTGAGTGGTTTAGGCTACAGCTGACCACATAAACAAATTATCGAAAATGAAGTATAGACTACTCGCAATCACTTGGTCCAGTAACATAATTAGACTGCGAATGGTAGCACAATAATTAGAAGTGGACAGTTTCAGATGTCTCCATTACTTAAACACTTGGGGATTTCGGTACAGTTAGCGAGTTATCGCAGACGCTATTCTAAATGGGGCAACAATTAAATATGCATTTGCGAATGGCGAAGCGCAAAACTCGTACCAAACAGGGCACTAAAGAGTCCAAGCATGACCTACGCTCACGGATTATGTAACCTCTGTTAATGTTGTGATATATACTAAATATTTAAGTTTGCCTTCAGTGGGTAGAGATGGGAAGTCGATTCGACCGCAGATCCGGTGTATAAAGTTCGTGAGATCGTTATCGTATCTGTTTTCTGGCTCATCTATACTTCCTATCCCCGTTCTTTCTGTATACAATGCCTAAAAAAGCTACCGCATCTAACCCACTCTTAAAATCTGAGGTTAAATGGCATGAGGGCAAGCGGGCAGTGTAATTATTTGTTTATATAACTACACTACGCTCGTCAGTCACTTTAAAATTAGTCTGGCCCTTGTGTCATGACCCGCCAAGGAAGTCAATAAAATGAAGAGGGGCGATGCAATCCGTTGCTTATGTAACCGCCTGATTTTTAGCTATGAATTTAGGTTTAGGCCTGCCAGTTTACGCGTGAGGTAACCTTCGAACCAAGTCAAAGCCTATTGCATTCTTATCTGCAGAGAATGCATGAATTCTGTCAAAATAACGGCTGCTGTTACTGATTTGGGAACTTTAACAGACGCTTCATTTTATGCCCCATGATCCTTTTCCTAAAACATAGCAAGATTACTCTAAAGTAAACTTGCATGGTATCATTCCATTAATTAAGTTAAGCTGAACTTAAGCAAGTCATTAATAAAAGTGTTAATGAATGCGCCTCAAAAATTATTTGAGCCCAGGAATAAGTGTCTATTGCTTATTAAACACTTTTTTCAAGAAGTAAACAGTGCTTGTCTAAAGCAGCATTTGTTACAATAAGCTTGGTTTTTTTGTTTAGTTTCGCTATCTGAGAGCTAAGTCGATGTGGTCGCACTTTTGTTTTTCCTTTTGCAATGTCGGTCGTTTTTGCCTTAATGGGTTAGTTGCTGTTCATCAAATATGGCTCCTAGTTGTCGTTCTCACACCTTTTGTGGTTGATGTAACTAGTACAAATGGAAGTGAAATAGCTGCATTTGGTTCTACGAAGGCCGTGGTTGGTAACACAACATCAATCGTTGAAGCCTCAACTACCAATTCAACTGATGAAGTACCCAAATTTGAATTTGTTTGCAATGGTACGATTAATGTTATTATTCAAGCCAGAATGGAGCTCTTCATCCCGTATTTTGATGTAAGTATCTAGACCTTCCCCTTGTTTTTCATGCGTCATGGACAGTTAAATGTTGATCGAGTCTTTTCCCTTCTAGGGACAATCTATTCAAACCAAATCTTTTGTCGTTGGCAAGAACGCTAGTGTTTTTGGCGGTTGCGGAGACGAGGTCGAAAATATTTTATTTCAGTGGTCTCCAAACGCTTCAAATGTTCCTTTTAATTTAACTATGGTTATTCAGAAGTTACCAAGATCTCCTTCAAGAAGTGGCAGTACCGTCGTTCACGCCATCGGCTTTGACTATTTCGTTTCTTCTGACGTCTTTCCTCATACCAACTCGACGGGTGAGAAATGCGATTTTGGGAACAATGGCCGCAAGACTAGCCTTTTATTGTTAATTGGAATTTATGGAATTTTATGCACTCAAATTTTAGGGTTATGTGCTTTTAGTTTTGACAGTCAGATTTGTTGATTGGATAATTAACTTTTCAACACCTTAATACCTTTTTAGGAGCACTTTCGGTTTCTGTTAATGGTTCATTCTTTGAAACTCCTGGGACAATGGGTTTTACATGTGCTCCAAGTCAAAATATTTCACTCTCCGGTGGTGTGATTTTCGGTGTTTCCTGTCTCCACTTGGAAGCTTTCCGCAACTCAACGTCTAAGGACTTTAGCTGGAAAGGTATTTGTGTCCGTTACTTATTTGAGGTTGGCGTTTTTTCGCCTCAAACAAGCCTTTTGCCGATTACGAGTTTGTTCGCATCCATTTAATGCTCTTTCTGGGTTCACCTATATTTCAGCTCTTGATTGTATGGACGCTCCAGCAGTCAACAAGGTTGTTCCTATAATTGTGGGCGTATCGGCTGCGATTCTAATTCTGCTGGTTATCGTGGCGTTCCTGATAAGCAATCGTCGACGAGTTCAAGGGTACCAAAGCCTATAAATGTCACTTTATTTGGACGATCATCCGGTTTCTCCCTCTTTCCCCTCCTCTTGGCTGATTCTGTCACACAAACTTTTGTGCAATCTTCATGACATTTATTAATCGCAATTTTTCTACATGCCTAGTTGTGTTAAGTGCGTCTTAGGGGACCTATTAATCCAGCACTGTTTTATAAAACATTTTTGTATGCAACTGGAGTATTTTCCAGTAGCAGATGCTTTAGGTTCCGAATTTAGGTTTTGCTTCTTTGCAATGGTGAAATCATTTTTTTGAATGTTTAAGTTGACAGGTCGTTGATGTTATCGCAAGATTGTTCGTTGGTACTCTCATGGCTGTAATGGTAAATTGGTGTATTTACTGTGTTGTGTTCTAATGAGGAATATCTAAAATGCTTAAATTATATTGGGAGTCCCTCACTTGTAGTTATCGAGCAACAGCACTAGGCGCAATCTTGATCACAGTATTTTTGTAACTTGATAGTTTGAGGAGTGTGCAGTTTGCATAATGGTAGTCTTTATGATCCTTCACGAAATCTGCACTGAAACCCAAGTTTGAATTAACCATATGGAAAAAAGTAAGAATGAGCGTCTCAGATCGACGAATGGATTTATAGAGGGCTATCGAAACGGTTGAGCTCTGAATGTATTGAAAGTTTTAAGTTAAATTAATCCTTTAGTCAACTGGGAATCTCTTAAGAACCAATTAGACGAGGTTGGCTCGAGACTGGTGGGTCACTGACAAGCCCAGTTTTACATTGATAGCACCTTCATTAACACGTATCATTATGCAAACCGATTAGGCTATGGGAAGTCCATACTTCAATTGCGTACCTACGCTGACTACTTATGATATTGTCGAGGTTGTGCTGATTCCACCTGCTCGCTTTCATCGGCTCTGATTTCAATGCATGAATGGGCCCATCTGCTGGTGTTTGTAAACACGTCGTCTTTGAGTTCGTTCGAGTTTCAAGTTGCTTCGAAATCAGTGCAAATTGAGATTATTTCGGAGACTCTTATTAAATAAATATCGGTGTCATGATTTAACTCTTCAGGTCAGGACGCATAAATTAGTCGTCCATGTGCAAATACACTATACTCAGAGGGTGCGCTAGTTAGGGGCCTGTCTAATCTTGTAAAGTGGGCATCTGCCAAGATTGTGCCTGTTCTGATACGCCTCTCACATTTACCCAAATTCGCAAAATTCAACTAAGGTTTCTCCATTGCGATTGGGGTGATGGGGATTCATTCAATGTCCGTGGACACCACTCATTCCGAACATTTATGCGCATCGGAGTTTACGTTGTGAACAGGGCGCGAGGGTCGACAAGGTGGCTAGGCCATTTCCTTCAACTGAGCTTCAGTATAAACAATTTGGTGGTATAACTTCAAAACACTCTGACCTACACCTTGTAAACAAGCTTGCCACTCTCCCTTCCTTAAGAACCAAGGCTGCTTGTTATTTCGCTCTTGTTTATTCGGCACTTTGTGAACCAAAATTTGGGATTCTTGCTTATTTCTTAAAATGTAAGCAACCATTGGTAGTAAAGTGACCGCTTCTCGCGCTTTTGAGGTCGACTATTTATCTCCAAAGAAAACAAGAAATAGCACTTTTGGGAGGATGCTGTGGTGCCTCAGGACTTCTCCAGAGGCAATGTAAGGCATAATACTGGAGCAGAGCAAATTTTCGGCAAAAAAGGAGGGGTTTTCCAACTACTGTCGCAGTCCACAGCCCGCCGCACCCGGAGGAGGCAATATGACCAGCCAGGTTTACGTAACCGAGAACCATACGAGCAAAAAAGTGCAACATGCTACTCATCATTAGCAGACTTCATTGTAAAATTTGCTCTCGGCTTATGATGAGTGAGACAGGCCATTCTACATAGACGGCAGTCGGAATAAACAATACAGATAGAGTAAAGCATTAATCGGTTCGCCCTCTGTTGAGGTGACGTAAGGAAATTTCGTTAAAGTGTTATAGATCAGGAATTACATAATTATCTTTTGATAAATTCAAAGGCGTCGCAGTCAAGGTAGTAAGGCTAGCCAAGTATGCGCGATTGATCGGGACAGGACGGCTTAATCACTTGCCCACGCATTTGTAGTTGTTCAGTGCACGGACAAAACATAGCGACCCATGCACAGCACACCGACCAGCCTCGACAGGGTCCTAAATTTATGGCATAGCAACTACACGACAAAAATTTAATCGGCCTACTCGATTACGATCGTCCTGGATGCTTCTTCGATGGACAGAATTTCTGAAGGACCATTTAGTTTATCTGCTTAACTTTACTTGTGTTACAGAGTTTTACTTACTGCATATTAACCATCCCAAAAATCGTGCTCTTAAAGCGATCCTCTTTGCATTCTCCACACTGCCAAATTGAGTTAAAAGAACACAAAACCCATTTGAATGCTTTATGTTATCAAGTATGGCAACAGCTGAAGCGACTCTTGGTTAAATAAGAGCACAAAAATTTTTTGGTTAAATCAATGTTATTAAAACCTTCCTTGCTCCGAGTTGTGTCCAGTATGTTCAAATAGGTACTGACATCGTTTTTTCAACCGTGGGCATACGAAATGAGAATCTCGGGATTATGCTCATTAGAAGATCAGTCTTTCAGGCTGGCGACCTGCCATGACCGCCAACACAATCTATAAAGCCGTATCCCTTATGGACGTTTAGTCAGATTGCCATGAATTTCTACATTATGTATGGTTCAAGTTGACGGTGTCATTTGTGAGCTTCCATAGTCCAGAAGATGATAGTAAAATAAAAACGAAAATTAACCTTGATTTTCATCAAGTCTTGTTCCATGTCTCCTAATACTGTCATCTATCAGTCAGCTTTTAGCGTACAGCACTC